GGGGGGGGGGGGTGGGGGGGGCAGGAAGCCGCAGCTGTGCCGGGCTGGCCGACAGCGTGCCGACGGCCGCCCCCCAAGCACACGGGCGCTCCGCAGGGAGAGGGCTGCACAGGAAGCTCTGTCGCCCAGTACAATGGCAGGAAGGAGCGGCCACTCGCTCTGCCTCGGAGCACGGGCCGACGGAGAGGGATGGGCCCCGCCTACCTGCCGCCCTCGCCCTGCTGCCTGCTGAGCACAGGGGGCGCTGTTCCTCTCCTGAGTCCCCCGAAGCTGACCTGCGCAAAAGCCCGCATATCTGGTACGGGGGCCCTGGAATAACGACCCCCGAAGCTGTAATTTCAGATATGCGGGTGCAGTGGTCCGTTTCTCATTTTTTAAAGAGCCGGTCCGTCTGCTTGAGGAGACCCGGCTGTCCTGGCTTAGTCGGAGGGGCCCCTTCTTGGCTGCCTGGACGGAGGGTCACGCCGACGGGTCAGCGCTGGCGTGCCGTGGGTGGGGGGGTGAAGGTCCGCATGAGGGAGATGGGGGAGTCGGCCATGTTTGTGTAACACCTCTAACTGTTTTGGTTTCTCACGCCCCCACTCAGTGCTGCCCCCGGTGTTGGTGCCCAGGAACAGCGAGTTCAATGCCAAGCACAGCATGCTGCCCCGGTTTCAGAACCCGCTGAACCAGACGGAGCCGCACATGCCGCACAACGCCATCTTCCCCGACTCCTTCCCCCCCGCCGGCCCGCTGCCCTTCCCTCACTCGCCCAACGGCAGCTTTCCCGGCTCCCCGGGCAGCGGGAGCAGCAGTGCCACCTTCCCACATTCTCCGTCTGGCTCCGACCCAGGGAGCCCTTTTCAGATGCCAGGTGAGCCAGCAGTAACCATGGCGATGACCTAAGCTTACCGGAGCGTACCCCCTTCACTAAATTAACTGGAACTCTTTTTCTGCGCCCTGCAGAAACACCCCCACCTGCCTACATGCCCCCGGAGGACCAGGTGACTCAGGATTGCCCTCAGCCTATGGACACCAACATATTGGCCCCGCCCCTGCCACTAGAGATCAATAACAGGCCAGGTAACCATGGCAACAGCCTCAGCGCACTCGCCCCCCCCCAGGGCCAATTTGTCAGACTCTTCCTCCCATGATGCCCTCTGACCCACAGCAGACAGCGTTTCCCAGAGGGTAGATCGAATTTCTGCCACTTCACCTTTCAAATCTTTGACTTTTCACCGCGATTACGTTAGTCGTATAAATCTTGGGGATTCTATTAGTAAATGAGCAAAAATCTCCAGGTGACAGGAATTCACCTGGCGTTCATTTCTCACGACTGGGTGGCGAGTGGCCGTGATTCGTCAGACGCCGTGCCCGTGTTTCTGCGCACAGCCAATCACAGGAAGGCTGGGCGGTGCCTCCAGCTATGGCCGCTGCTCCCCCTCACATTGTCTTACGAGTGCGGTTGGGGCTCGGCTGCGGCGTGATCTCCGTGGGTGGTAATTACGGCGCGATCGTAATGCATCGGACGCACTAATTACACTCGGATTTTATATAATGTTAGCAAGCAGACTAGCATGTGCATTACGACCGCTCCTGTTGGCATGGTGTTGAAAACCTCAATTCTAGTTCGCGTTCCAGCCTGGGAGAGACACTTCGAAACGGAGGGTTCTTATTAAATCTGCCATAAATTGTTGGGGGAGGGGGGGGTTTCTGTTTTGCATTAAGTGACCCCGTCGCATGCCTACCCTGGGACCTGTATCACGAAGCAAGATATTTTTAGTTAGGCAGTTCAGTGTTTCCCAACCTCTCGGGGACCTCAGACGGTCCTCGTTTTTGCTCCCTCCCAACTCCCTACCAAAGACGTGGACTGTGTGGGGGGGGGATCTCCGAGGAGCGGGTTGGGAAACACTGAGCTAGACAACTTGCTGGATTTAAGGTACGCCAGTTTAAATGGATTTGAATTGCATTCATTTACATTTAGCCCAGACTGCCTCAAATCCTACAAGTTGTCAGGTTAACCCAAAAAGAGCTTTGTGATACAGGCCCCTGGACTCTCTGGATTCTCGAGGCTCCTGCCCAGGGCACAGATCCGGACTTCCCGGCCGCGTACAAAACAGAATTTATGTCTGCCCCTATCTTGACCGTGTCCAGCGAGAAGCGTAACAATGCTGGACCCCGCCGAGGCAGCTGGGGGGCCGGCACTGACACATTTACTGGAAGCGTGTGAGCCGGGGGCCCGGGGCCCCACAAGCTGTTTCCTGTGCAGCCGGGTCCGGCTCCCATTGTCACAAGTAGACGAAACACACCTGCAGGCCACACCAGGCCGCTGGGGAAGCTCGTGAGAAATGTGCGCTAGATAAATACCGTTTATCCCCTCGGAGCGGCCAGCTGGCAGCGGCAGCCTTAGATAACGGAATAGGGGGTGGTCCGCGGACTTGCTGGGCGGAGCTGGCACGCCACGGGCACCCTCATCAGTCTGATAGTGATGTAATCTCAGAAAATGAAGGACAGGAGCCCTCTTGTGGCCGTAAAGCGTCACGCGGACCGGTTTCTGTCTCCTGCGCAGACGTGCAGCCGGTGGCGTACGAAGAGCCAAAACACTGGTGCGCCATCGTCTACTACGAGCTGAACAACCGCGTGGGGGAGGCCTTCCAGGCGTCCTCCACCAGCGTGCTGGTGGACGGCTTCACCGACCCCTCCAACAACCGGAACCGCTTCTGCCTGGGGCTCCTGTCCAACGTCAACCGCAACTCCACCATCGAGAACACCCGGAGGCACATCGGCAAAGGTAGGCCCCCCCCCACCCCCCGGACTCCGCCCTACAGTTTGGTCGTCACAGATTATAGTGGGAAATTTTACTTGAGGGGTTTATATCGGACATTGAGGATGACATAGAACTTTGTTAATCCAGGGAGAGAGCATTAGCTCTCACCAAGCAAGGTTAAACAACAGGACTTAAAAATACCAAAAACAAATGCACTGTTTTCTTGTAATATATTCTAATACAAAATAAGGAATATATGTATAATACAATGGAAGCAGAATGGAAGGTGGTATGTAACTTAAATGGGGGGGGGGGTGCCTGTGCAGAGAGGGTGCAGGGGACCCCATGTGCAGAAGTACAGCATGGCTGATACACATGCAAAAGAATGAAATTAAAAATTACTATTAAAAAAACAGCCAAAAAATGTAGTGAGAGTCTAGTGCTCCTAGTACTTGAATGGACTTAGAACCGTGGGTGATTCGGGTCCAGAGAGTACAAATCCAGTCCAATGTTTTGTTTCAACCAGTTGAGTGTAAAGAGTCGCAATCAGAGAGTACTCAGCTGGTTGGTTGAAACTAAATCTTGGTCTGGACCGGATCTACTCGCCTCTGGAACCAGCAGCCTTCAGATAAAGTGTACATGTCCTTAACCTCTGTGTTACTGTAATATGATTAACTGGCATTTTTTTCATGTGTGCTTTTAATTTTTAAGAAACACATTTCACAGTCTGTGTTTATATGGGAAAAATGGCTGTAGAGTACAGTAGAATACTGTAGTGTAGTATAATCTCTGTTCTAGTGTAGAATATGGATTACTAACTTTTCGGCATGACTGCACTGTACTATTAATCTGCTTATTAAATTGAGGGTATACGTAAATGTCCGTATAATATCAAAAAGCTGGCATCCGGACAAATGTTTATGCCCATCTAAAGCCCTGGTGAGTATTGCGCGTGTGCCACATAGTCGCGATATTATACCGTGCAGCTATACTGCAGAGCTTCTCAGCTTTCAGGTAGGCTGTGGTAGCCCCTGGCCTGGCGCCCCCTGCTGTCCCTAGTGATGTACTGCATCTCCCCAGGGGTGCACCTGTACTACGTGGGCGGCGAGGTCTACGCCGAGTGCCTCAGCGACAGCAGCATCTTCGTGCAGAGCCGCAACTGCAACTACCACCACGGCTTCCACCCCACCACCGTCTGCAAGATCCCCAGCGGCTGCAGCCTCAAGATCTTCAACAACCAGGAGTTCGCGGAGCTGCTGGCTCAGTCTGTCAACCACGGCTTCGAGGCCGTCTACGAGCTCACCAAGATGTGCACCATCCGCATGAGCTTCGTCAAGGTATGTCCTTGCCGCAGGGGACCGCGTCACACCAACACCGCTGAACGCGCACAGGCAATTCCTGCATTACGGATGTGACGTATAAATTAAAAATATCAAACACAATGCCTCAGAGCATGAACAAGCTTGGTATCAATGAGTCAGTTTGCATATTGAAATTCGTACACAGCGCTCACAGAACATCTTGGGATACTTGCTTAATTCTGTAAAAATGTTGCAAATTTATTGGTTTCATAATTAAAGTCCATATTTAAAATATTTACACATTATCTTATGCACAGACACTTATTACTTTGTATCGTAGTTTTTTTGACTGACTCATACAGTTCTGTTCTTGCCATTTTGCTATTAATTGTAGTTGTAGCCATTGGCCCCCAAAGGGATACTAAACACTGATGTTTGGTGTTTTATGTTATTGCAAAGGTGTTACTAATTAAAAAGAACCCAATGAGACTGCTTGTCAATGAACTTGTAACTCAGAATAGCTCATTTAGAACTGTAATTTGGATTTCAGTTTATTACTACTTCAAATGAAAGTTTTACTCAAAACTATTGGTCGTTCCTAACGTGATACATATTTTTTGTTAACGAAAGAAGTTATGATTATTGTTTGAAAACCAATAAATTTGCAATATTTTTACTGAAATAAACAAGCGTCCCAAGACTTCCTGTGAGCGCTGTATTACCAATGCATAGTGCTTTATCAGCATTATGGCAGTGAAATCAAACAGACCTTGGCATGGAATTGCTGTGATATTTATATGAAATGATGGAACTTTGCCGCTTGGGTGCTGATGTGAATTTCTGCTCCGCTCCAGGGTTGGGGGGCCGAGTACCACCGCCAGGACGTCACCAGCACCCCCTGCTGGATCGAGATCCACCTACACGGCCCCCTGCAGTGGCTGGATAAAGTCCTCACCCAGATGGGATCCCCAGACAACCCCATCACCTCCGTGTCCTAGACGGAACGGGGTTGGGGGGGCAGATGGGGACGAGGCCGATAGTAGCGGGTGGTGGGGGGGGTTATATTTTACTTGAAGGCGGTCTGAATCAGGCACATGACAGACTGACACAGGGGGATTGCGCATTTGTCTGGAACATACTTGACCTTCGTAATCAGATCATCATGTCGCAGGTATTTCTAACCTTCCCCCATCCATCGCCCCCCACCCTCATCAGCAGTTTTCCTTCCCTCCACTCTCGAGTTCATAGTGCAGTATTCCGCTGTGGACCCGGGCTTGACCCGGGATTGTACAGCGACATGTCTGAATACGAGAGGCTGTAACAAGCAACTGAGGTGGGGTGGGGGGGCGGGGGGTGGGAGCGGTATAAAGGTCATGTTTTCATTGAACTTGTTAGCTTATGACTGTATTATAATATTTAGGTCAGTAATTAATGCATACAGGCCACTCGTTTTATATGATGTTGGGGGGGGGGTTGGGGGAGTATGCGAACTGATGGTTTATTTTCCCATCAGACCTGCCTATAGGTGTTTAATTTGGGGGGGGGGGTGGTTTCAGTCGGGGCAGGAAGTCCACATGCTTCATGTAGCGGCACTTTCCGACTGAAGCCAACCGAGCCTCCCTGCGTTCTCCTTAGGTCAGCAACTCCCAGCCCGGTCCTGTATTTGCTCCCTCCCAGCTCCTGGTAGCAGGGCGTTAGGAGGGAGCAAAAACGTGGACCGTCTGTGGTCCCCGCGGACCGGGTTGAGAAACACTGCCTTAAGTTTCCCGGGGCGTGCGCCCTACTTGGATCTGTAGTGTGGTTAGCGTAGCGTAGCCGGGTGCTCGCAGTAAGGGGGTCAAGGCCTGTAGACCCCAGGCCGTGCAAGGTACAGCCCGCATGGAATGCAGCGCTGCACTGCACAGTGCATTCCTACCCTCCTGTTTCTGTGTGTCACCCACTCAGCAAGACCTGCTAGATGACTGGAATTGTTTTTAAAAGTTTTGGTTTAATGACTAATCAGAAAAAAACAGGCTGTTGTGGAATATCAGGAGGCCCAGTATCATTTTTAAAAATAAACCTTAAATTTCTTACTTTTCAATTTTTTTTAAGCTTAGGCAAAAAAAAACCCATCAGCTATTAAAATGTTTTCTACTTTTTTGTATTTTTTTAAAAAACCTGTTCTGTTGTGTCTTGTATCTGCACTTTTACAGATGATGGCTTTCCCATGTTTATTTTTTTATTTGCTGTTTTTGCTGAGTAGTATTTGCAGATCTGTTTTATTCCATGAAAAAAAAACAATCAAGTCTCTACTGGAAGACTTAATAAAATTGTTTCACTACCACTTGTTTATTGATTATTTTTTAAGATAAAATATTCTGTCTGTGAAAGTCCAGTTATGTAAATGACCCTATACCATGCAAAATCCTTTTTTCCCATGCATTGGTGTTAAACTGCACTGATGCAAACTAAAAGCCTGCAATCATCCCAGATCGACAGACGGCAGATTCTGATTTTTACTGGTCTGTGAGGACTCATCAGTCGCCTTTCCATTTTGACATTTCACCTCTAACCAGGCCATTTATTTGAAATTTAGGACCCACATCTTTTTCATCTCGAGTAGTCATGTGCCCATGTTGCCATCACGCAAACTCGACAGTGCTGTGGAAAATTAATTCTCTGAAAGGTTTAGTGTATTAAAAAAAGATTGTGCAGTAGCATTGCATTCCAAAATTTCTGTACCCTCTCTCTTTAAAAGGGTCTTCACCGTAATCGGGCAGCTGGATGGGTGAGATATTAGTCTTATAACCTGGACTATGCCTGATAACAGGGTTGGTTTTACTTTTGTATTAGAGTAATATATTTACGATGTTTGGAGGAAGATGGGCGTCAGAACCAGAGAAACATCCCAGTTCCACCTTCTCCACACCACATATCATTACATTAATTTACAGTTTTTGTGTACCCAGAAATACTGTACGTCATCCATTCTGCCATCTTCCGTCTGCTGTTTGGTGTTATGCAAAATAACAGAATTCGGATAGATGTTCTCTGAGGACAAGTAAACATTTCTCCAGTGGGGGAAAAATAAGCCTGGATGAGAGCGAAGACTGCCACCTAGTGGTACAACAAGGATACAACATCAAGCAAATTTATTGCTGACGGTTACCAGTAGATACCAACTCAAAAATCTTTTTCTTCGTACATAGAAAATGAATTGCATTTAATTTTGTTTATAGACATTGTGTAACTTTTCAAACCACTCATTAGCAAAATGAACGCGAAATAACGAAACCCGACTGTAAGTACGTAACATATTCTACTATGTTTATACATACATTTGCTTTTCGCGCGATGGCATGAAATACATCTAGGGCACAACACCTATTTATCTCCTAAGTTGGAAACGTAACTGATAAGTAATATTACACCGACAAGTTGGAAAAGCAATTGCACCAGTCTCACGCGATCAGCTGATCTCGCGGTGACGTCACAGGAAGCCGGAAGTGAGGTGGAGACGTCGGCGTGCGCCGCTGGTGACCGGGATTTCAACCTTGCACCGCTGTAGTGAAACACCTTCCAGCACTCTGATTTGAAAACCTTCTCCAGTATGAAGTTTATAAACGCCTGGTGGCCGGTGAAGCCTTTCCCCGTGCTGTCCCATTAGGAACTGCGGTAAGGATTCATCGCAGTTGTGTCTGCGCAAACACCGTGTGTCATCTGTTCGTTTTACATGCATATTATGTGAAGTTTATACGGCAAGGAGTATAATGTAACGATTCAGGCGATGCTTTTAACAATACTAACGACAGCATTCTGTGCAAAATCAAGTCGTTATTCGTTATAAGATCTACACCTCGTAAGACTGACACTCGAAGGGAGCTTCTTTATATCAAAGTACGGCGACCTGTTGACTGATAAACGAATCGCTTGTGCTTCAGGTCTGTCGGCCTTCCCTGAAACACAGGTGCGGAGTGACGGGACCAGCGACCTCCGCAGTGTCTGTAATTCGCCGTGTCGGCACCCATGCGGACTTTAAACCTTGCTTGGACATGGAGGAGTTACCTCACCGCAGCTGTGAACTGTGGCCGCGATTACTCCCCCTGGTCAGCGGCCTGGACTGCGCTGCCGAGAAGGGCTTACTGTGTGGAGGCAACTCTGAGACAGCAGATGGAGGATCTGACAGAAAGGGAGAGAAGGGGCCTTGATAGGCTGTACCAGGGACTGCTGCAAGGGCAGCGGGCCTGTCTGGCAGAGTCCATCACCCTGGTGGAGACACAGCACCCCCGCAAGAAGGTGCTGGCCCAGATGCTGCTGCAGCGAGTCCTGGCCTACAGGAAACAGCAGGAAGAGCTGAAGGGCGGCAAACCGCTGGCTTTCAGAGTGGGTCGGTGGGGCTTTGGGTATTAACTTCTTATCCCTAGTGCCGGCATGTAGGCAAGTAGTAAAATGAGGTCTGAACCACCCTCAAAATTTACTTCAGCCCCTGGTCGGCTAAATCTATCAAGCCCCCCCTGGTCGGCGAAGACATCTCAGGGTGACCCGTCGATCATACAACTGTTGATATGCAGACTCGTAAAGGATATTTCGGGTTATAGATCTCAAGCACTTTTGAGGTTGTTTTGGGCCCCAGAGATTAGGCACTCCCTGCAGAAATAATTTCTCTTAATCCCCCTTATTGATTTGCTCTAGCAAGGCAGTAGGATGGGGGGGGGGGTATATAATTAGCATTCATTCACCCCTCACAATATACAGACATTTTTATTGAATTGTGTCCCTACTACAAATACCAAACTCTCTGCTATGTAATTGTGCTCTAGGACAGAATGCAGGATTCTTACAGTTTGTTTTTTTTATGGCGCTCTGTTAGAACTAAATTCATTTAAAAGCAGAAAGCATATTATTTCCTACCATTTCATGCTTCTGCAAATGGCTGAAAACATCTCCTCTGTCACAACAGGGCTTTCTGGCCCTCCTGGTGCTGGCAAGTCCTCCTTCATCGAGGTTTTCGGGAAGATGCTGACGGGGAGAGGCCACAGGGTGTCCGTGCTGGCGGTGGATCCGTCGTCCTGCACATCTGGCGGTGAGGTTAGCCGGTCTGGTCCTCCAGCAGCTTTTCTTTGAGAGAGGTACCATATTTGCCTCTTTCCACCTGACCGGCATGTATGCTGCCCCACGGCTCCAAGCCTCCAACTCTGTGATTGGAAGGTTGTTGGTTTGAATCCCGTGATTGGAAGGTTGTTGGTTTGAATCCCGTGATTGTAAGGTTGTTTGTTTGGATCCTGTGATCAGAAGCCTAGCCACATCTCCATTGGGTACTTAAGTAAGGCTCTTAACCCCCCCAAAAATGGTCCAGGGGCACTGGGACCCCAAGCTTCCAGAAAGATGGAATATATGAAAAGCACATTGCGATGTATCTTCTTTTGGTACATATACAAATGAGTGAAATGTTCTGTATTTTTTTTCTTGACACTAGGGTCACTTATGGGTGACAAAACACGCATGACTGAGCTGTCACGAGATATGAATGCTTTCATTCGCCCATCCCCCTCGTCAGGCACCCTGGGCGGGGTGACCAGGACCACCAATGAAGCCATAGTGCTGTGTGAGGGGGCAGGTTATGACATCGTTTTGGTTGAAACTGTTGGTAAGCTTTTTATTTCTTCCCCTCATTTAAAATTGCCTTGTGCTGAGAAATATTCTTGGCGTTGTGTCAAAATCCAGCAGAATATTTTCATGGCAAATCTGATGGGAATGTCGCCCTCCAGGTGTCGGCCAATCGGAGTTCGCGGTTGCCGACATGGTGGACATGTTTGTGTTGCTGATTCCACCAGCAGGGGGCGATGAGCTACAGGCAAGTTATGAGGAATTGATAGGAATTGATGGGTGCGATCAAAATGTTATGAAATGAGTCGTCATTGTTTTGTCGATCTGCTGGGTGGGTGTGTCCGTGTTCACCATCGCACATCACTTTAAAAAGCCTGTCAAACACTGAAGGGGGGGGGGGGGGTCATCACTTTGAATTTGACTTGCTTGCTGTGATTTACAAGTGCATGATATTTATTTATTTTTTTGCCTTGACCAGCTTGGGGGGTTACTGTGTGTATGCATGGTATACATTTTTGCACATCCGGGAAGTGGTGACCATTTGATTTTTCCTGCCGTTTGTGATTAGATAGTAGGGTGGTCCTTAAAAATGAAAATGCTAGTTCTCACCCCTTAATTTTGTAAGAAAACATTTCAGGACTTATTTTAATGATTTTTCAAGCATGTTTAGGGTTTGCTGAAGCAGCTTGGATACCAAAGTCTAGTCAGCCACTGTTTCTGTGCTGCTTTGTCCTGTATTTCTTAATGTTTGGTTCATCCATCCCTTTATTGTCCTATTGAGGGGTGGGGGGTCTGGAGCCTATGGGCGCAAGGCAGGGAATAACCCAGGATGGGGCGCCAACCCATCACAGGGCAAACTCACACACCATTCACTCACACATATGGGAAATTTAGTAATCAGCCTCAATGTGTTTTTGGACTGTGGGGGGGAAACCAGAGTCCCCAGAGGAAACTCCCCCCCCCGACGACACAGACCAACTCCACACCACGGTGGAGACTCGAACCCTGGTCCCAGAGGTGTGAGGCAACAGTGCTAACCACCGCGCCCCCCACCTTCGGTTCATTTAAATGAAACATAGGCCATAAAAAAATGCCGTTATGTTAAAATCTCAGGCAGCACCAATGCTATAAGAACTTTTTAAAAATAATTCATTTCGTCGTTCTTAACTTCTGTCACAAACTTAAGCTCCACAGAGTTAAGAACGACGAAAGGAATTATTTTTAAAAAGTTCTTAGTGTATACGTACTACTTGAAGTTAAAAAAAAAAATCATGGCATTTTATATGCCCTACTTTTAATTTATATGAATTAAATGAGGGGCGGTACTGTGGTGCAGAGGATAGCCCTGTCACCTCACACCAGGGTTCGAGTAACCAGAGTGCGCCCCCTCCTGGTTTGTTTCCTGCCTTGCAGTCACGCATAAAACATGGTTGGATGGATATTTTCAATTTTTTACGTCGTTTCATTTGGTCAAATTGCCCGAATGTTAACATGCTAGAGAGCTAAATGTACGATGATAAAAGTCAATCTGGTACAGACTGGCTTAAAATTCGGCAAGAATCCTGCTTTGCAGAACACACACACCCCCCCCACCCCATCTGTTATTCTAGACAGTTAACAGTTACTGTTGCGTGGCTATGAAGTGACGTAGTATTTAATATCTTTGAATGATTCTTCAGGGAATCAAGCGAGGCATCATCGAGATGGCGGATGCAGTGGTGGTGACCAAGGCGGACG